GGGCTGACGGCCAAGGATGCCTTGTGGAGCCAGTAAAGCCAGGCATTAGCTCCATGGCCGACCCGGTCTCGCTGCAGCCTACTGCCAGCCCCTCGAACACCGGAGTGCAGGGCCAAGGAGAAGACAATACACAGGCACGTAGGGTGAGGGGGGATGCTGGGCTCCTCCTGCCTGTGGGAAGCCCCTGGCCCATCATGCCAAATGGCTGCGGCCCGCCGTTTCACTGTTCCTATAGAGCCCTTGTTTCCTCCAAACAGGTGGTGGCCTGACTGCTCCTTTGTAAAGTCCAGTGGTGATCCTGGCTCCATCCACCAGGACCAGGAAAACGAAGCCCGATGGCAGATGAATTCCTTGCAGGGGGATGGAAGCCTGTGGGCAAGATGGGACAGAGAGCTTCAGGGGAGATATGTTCCAAGGTGGAAGGGAGTGAAGGATCAGATGCCAGAGTTCCGGTGAGAGGCCAGTTACAGTGACCTAGGTCCACACCAAGACACACGGGCCTACTACCTCTTAGTCACCATATCAGATACGCCGAGTTACTGTATACACACAGACCAGAATGAATAGCAGCAGTCCACAGAATGATTGTCACTAACAGTGTTAACATATACGACCGTGAAAGTTTTCTTCCTCACAAACTTGGCCCTAGTAATGTTTAGCCAGATTAATTCTTTTGTCACAGGTGCTTGTCTGTGCACCCATGATTGGTTGTTTAGTAGCATCTCACCACCCCCCGCACCAGATGCCAATTGCAAGGCACAATGCCTTCTCCACTTAACACCAAGCCAGCTGAGCACACAAAATTCTCCAGACATTACCAAATATATTTCCCTAAGAGCAAAGCCACCCCACTTGAGAGGTCCCGCTTGAATAGGGCATATATCTAACTCTATGATATAGTATACACTTATATGATGATACACGCGATACACCTGTTTAGGTCGCACATATTGGCCACCTCGCCAAATCAGGTTCACACAGAGCTACATATGGTCACGGGAATTCATCTTATACATCAGTCACACATAGACATGGGTGGACGCTCAGTAACAACCGACACACAAAAGGTTGACATCAGTAGTTACTTCCTTAGTCTGGGGGGTGGGGATAGAGAGAAAGAATCATGCGATTACTTCCCTGCACCACTAAGGCCCAACTGTCCTCAGTTTTTTCCTATAGTGACGTTTGCTAGTTGGCTTGGATCGATCATCCACTATCCTACGTTCCTGGCTAAGCATTTTTGATCAGCATAACCAGGCCCCGGAAATTGCTTCCTATCATTCCCAGGCCTATCAGAGGTTTGAGTCTCCAGCACGGTTGAGAGTATGGAAAATGGTAAGAATGAAAATAACTTTGAGCACGGTCCTTCAACTTCCTGATGTCTGAGCTGAGAACCACAGAGCTAGTCACACATCTGATAATAATGGTTCTCACCACTGTCTCCAAAGGTACATAGAGGTCGACACCAGAGACCTGGGGAGTGGGAGGGATACAATAGAAAGGAGTTATGCCCTTTAACAAAACTACAATTCACAGCACATCACACTGCCGAGAGTCGTCTCCACATCCATGGAGTGACATGTGAACAGATCTACCAAACCCATCTCTCCCTAGAGTAGGCGAATTAGACACGAACCACATAACAGGGTCACATGTCCAGGCCAGTGGTCACCGTGACATGCAGGCTGCAAGGCGCATCCTATGGCAGCCAGGGTATCAGCGCAGCAGGTCCCAGGAGACAGGTGGCCCAAAAAGACACCCCTGAAAGCAGCTTTACTAGGCTCAGGGCTTTCTGGCGGGAAGCTGAGGAAGGAGCTGAAGCATAGAAGGGAATGAACAAATGAACCCCTTCCAGGCCCCACTACCCCAACCCAAAGCAATGGCTGGCTCTGGCCTTCTCCTCCTTTACGCGTCACCTCCTCCCTGCCCCAGAGCCTTACCCTAAAACCAAGCACGTCCATAGCAGTTAGGGAAAGGAGAGGCTACTTACCTGGATGCTTCATGTTAGGCACCGGGACGGCGCGCAGCACACAGATAGGCACCAGACTGCAGAGGAGAGTAGCACCAGCAGCGCACCAGGCCCGCCAACTTCACCTCCAGCCCACAGGCAACTAAGGGCTCTAAGCTACCACCTCTGGGCGCACACAGGCGCTTGGTTTCCCCAGGGCCCATCTGGTAGTTTTGGTACCTCCAATGATCCGATCTAGGAAGATAGACCAGAATGGAAAGATGGGGCATGGAAGGAAGCTTGTCAGGAACATGTGCCAGTTCCCTTTGGCCCTCCACTTTCCTGACCTTCCTCAGCCCCAGGGTGGACTCATCCACTCCAGAAAATACAGAAACATTCCTTTTCCTCAGATTTATCTTTCCCAAGTGACTTACATTCAGGGGCCGCAAGGGGAAATTTAGACACTTGGAGGACTTTGTGGATATCTGCATTATTCTTTCACCTGCACCCCAGAGAACTAGGGGCCACCAACCAAATAAGGGCCTGGAGTTGGGGGTCCCTAAGAACTAGAGGCCATGCCGCTGCCATTCCAAGAGAGGAGTGGATTACGGCCAAGGGTCGGGCTGTGGAAAGGTCTCGCGGGGTCGTTTCGTGGACCACCTAAACAGGGATGAACTTGGGGTACTGATCACTCACTCGCTCCCCTGCCCAGCGCCATCCCCCGAAAGCAGAAGCGAGCGCTTCACGCCACAAGGCCAGGACCTACTGGGGCAGACGGCCAAAGGAGAGGGCCGTAAGGGTCTGGGGTTGGGAAGAACTAAGACGACATGGAGCGGCTCGAGCGGGGCCCAGGAGCGGGATTCGAGGCCGCTATTCGCGACAGCAGACGAAGCACTGGTGAGAGTTGACTCGGGCTCCAAGCTCCGGAGCCTGGACGCAACCACGGACCCCGCTCCGGGAGAGCCGCACTACCTCTCCGACGGTCGCGTACATGGTATCCCTCGGTTCCGCCTCGAGTCGGAATTCCCCCCCCTCCATTCGCTCCCCTTTCCCCAGCGCCGCCGCGTACCCGCCACGCTGCCCAATGAAGCCGTCTAGGAGGCGGGACTAAACATGGAGACGGTGAGCTTAGAGCAATCAGAAACTGCGAGCAGAAGAGGGCGGAGCAGGCGACCAAGAAGAGAGTGAGCGTGGAGCCAGGAGGGTTAGGTAGAGATTTGGGGTTGTGGGCTGGGGAAACTCTGTGGAGGTATGCAAGTCGGAGCTGGCCGGTCTACGCAGGCTTTGATTATATGGAGATTTTTTTTTGGGGGGGGGGGATAGAGTCTCTCTCTGTCGCCTGGGCCAGAGTGAGTGCCGTGGCGTCAGCCTACTCACAGCAACCTCAACTCTCAGGGCTCACGATCCTCTGCTCAGCCTCCCAGTAGCTGGACTACAGGCATGTGCCACCATGCCAGCTATTTTTTCTATATATTTTAGTTGGCCAATTAATTTCTATTTTAGTAAAGACGGGGGGGGTGTCTCACTCTGCTCAGGCTGGTTTCGAACTCCTGACCTTAAGCATCCGCCCACCTTGGCTCCCCTAGGTTATAGGCCTGGAGCCACCACGCCTGGCCTATATGGAGATTTTTTTTAAAGAGGTAGCTAGATCTACCCAAGATTTTGCAAGTAAAAGAAGAAAAAGGACAAAGAATTAAAAAAAAAAAAAAAAAGAGGTAGCTAGAAACCCAGAGGGGAAGGCTGGGGCTCCATCCTTGCCCTCTCATTGCCAAGCCTTCCGCTGTACATTTCAGGGGATATTCCCGGCCTTGGGCCAAAGTCTCTTTATCTTATCTCTTTGAAGACTCTAAGACCCCCGTTAGGTCCTCGTTAGGTTAGGTCCTCGTGGCTGGGATGGGAAAGCATTCCATTCTTAGGACGAACTTCCTTGCTAGATTTCCCTCACCAGCACCCACAACAAAGAAAAAGACAAGGGAGAATTGGAAAAGGGGAAAAGCAAAGAGAGGGTGTGTCTTGAAAATCATCCCTTCTTGACTCCAATGGCCCAAGCTGACTTCTGTACAGCCTTTTGCCTTCTCCAAGTGTGTATAGAAGTGGTGGGACAAAGCTCAGAGGCTGCTGAAAACCCACCTAGTGAAGAGCCTCTCTCAGCACACTCCTACTTACCATCCTTACCACGCCTCCGCCTCGCCTGGAGGCATCTGGCCAGGAATCATTCCAACCTCATCCCCAACTCTTCTCCCTCCACCCCTGCTGGCCTTCCTTCTGTTTTCTGTTCTTTGCATGCACCAAGGTATTTTCAACTCAGGACCTTTATTATTGTTTCCTCAGCCTGGATCCTCTTGGACCACAAATCCTGTATTAGGAGAATCCTCTTCTAACCTCATGGGACCATAGGGTACAAAAAAGGAAAATTTAAAAAGGGGCTCAACCTGTTCTTTTTTACACAGGCAAAAAAGCCTCATTGCCTAAAGAAGTGACAGAGTGATGTCTCTGACACCACTTTTAGAAATGGAGCCCAGCAACTTCTTCTTCTTCTTCTTTTTTTTTTTTTTTGAGACAGAGTCTTGCTTTGTTGCCCAGGCTAGAGTGAGTGCCTTGGCGTCAGCCTAACTCACAGCAACCTCAATCTCCTGGGCTCAAGCGATCCTCCTGCCTCAGCCTCCCGAGTAGCTGGGACTACAGGCATGTGCCACCATGCCCGGCTATTTTTTCTATATATATATATATTAGTTGGCCAATTAATTTCTATTTATAGTAGAGACGGGGTCTCACTCTTGCTCAGGCTGGTTTCAAACTCCTGACCTCAAGCAATCCACCCGCCTCGCCCTCCGAGTGCTAGGATTACAGGCGTGAGCCACTGCACCCAGCCAGAGCCTCAGTTTGAAAAGTGGAGCTCAGACCCTAGAGAATAGGCCACTGTCCCAGGGTGCTCCCTGTGATTGACAGGCAGGTGCAGGCCTTCCCTTGCTTGCTCAGAGTACCAAGGTCCTAAGTCTCTGGGTAAAGCATATAACAAAACTACCTCCTCTCTCCTGCCCACCGCCCCCAGCTGCCATGTCAAACCCTGTTCCTGACAGATGAGGAGAAGCGTCTGCTGGGGCAGGAAGGGGTTTCTCTCCCCTCTAACCTGCCTCTCACCAAGGTAACACACTTCCCCGAAGAGTATCCCAAACCAGGGGCTCCACCATGGCCTCCCAGGAGCCAACATCCCAGGGGAAGAGTTGGGGAGTTGGGGGAAGTTAAGGATCCAAAAATGACACACCCTGGGTCTCCAGGCAGAGGAGAGGGTCCTCAAGAAGGTCAGAAGGAAAATACGTAACAAGCAGTCAGCTCAGGACAGTCGGCGGCGGAAGAAAGAGTACATCGATGGGCTAGAGGTTAGGTATGTTTGGGCTCACATTTCTGACTTCCTGTGGGCCCCCTTCCTCACCAAGGCAGGCACGGTAAGGGACTCAGATTGCTAAGCCTTGTCTTACCTCTCCACAATCTCTAGGGTGGCAGCCTGTTCTGCACAGAACCAGGAACTACAGAAAAAAGTCCAGGAGCTGGAGAGGCACAACATGTAAGTGAAAGCACAGTGTGTATGTGCTGGAAGTGGTGAGGGTGCAGTACACAGGGGCACCATTCTTGGGTCCTGGTTCCCAGAAAATACTAACTCTTCTTTCCTCCTTTCCCAGCTCCTTGGTGGCTCAGCTCCGCCAACTGCAGACACTCATTGCTCAAACCTCCAGCAAAGCTGCCCAGACCAGCACTTGTGTTCTGGTACCATTAGTCTACTTCCCATCTCCCCCCATCTCCACCATCTTCCACCCCATTTCCATCCCAACACCCCCCACCCAGGCACATCTATCTTTTCTTACTTGATAATCCCAACTGCCCTACATTCACTCTGCCCTCTGCTCCCTTCTTTTATTGTCCCCACAGCCCAATTGTCCTCTTGCTTCCTCCCAGATCCTTATTTTTTCCCTGGCTCTCATCATTCTGCCCAGCTTCAGCCCATTTCAGGGTCTACCAGAAGTTGGGCCTGAGGATTACCAGCCTCATGGAGGTGAGAGGCAAGGGCAGGGAGGGACCCTGGTAACTCATGGTAGTCAAGAGCGGGAGGGAGGTCCTGTCCTGTCTAGGGTCCCCCACCCAGGGGAACACTCTACAATTAACCTTTTTCCTTTCCCTTCCCAGTGATTTCCAGAAATATCCTGACCCACAAGGACATGACAGAAAATCTGGAGACTCAAGTGCCAGAGTCTAGACTGGGGGAACCACCTGGAGCCAAGGGTACAAACGGCTCAACAAAGACACCGCTTGAGAAGACAGAAGGAAAGACAGGACCCAGTGGGCACATCAGAACAGTGCTGCATGCAGATGAGATGTGAACTGGAACAGAGGCCTTCCTGGCCTACTTCCCAATCATAACGAGGACGCCAGGGCTTCCCCCTGGGACTCCCACTCAGGTGTCTCTGCTCTCAAAGGTCGGAATCACTTCAGGACACCTGAGGCCTGATCTACCTATATGAGAGGACACCTAAAATACTTCTGTTATGTATCTGTGATTTATTTCTTCTTTGGGGATAGGGTTGAGGAAAAACAAGTTTTGACTGAAAAATAAACTTTTTAGCTGAAATTTTATCTCGGAAGTTTTAAATAAGTAGAAGGGGAAGATAGGTATTTGGTAGACTGGAGCCTAAAGTTGCCACCCCTTTTCCCTCTCTGTCCCCATGACTTCTTGCTCCAAATTATAGTAGGGAAGAAAACTATTTTACTCTTTTTATTCTGTTCATTAATGATCTGAAAGAGGAATATGGGAGAAGGGGATACCATCACAAGGCTCCAAAGAACCAAGGGTGCAAATCAGTTCATTTCACTTTCTCTGTCTGAGATAGGGTCTCTAAGACCCAGGATAAAAGTGTAGAATATAGCTATATGGACTCGATTTGCTTCCGGACCTTTTCCAGAGCCTTTCTGTCCAGTTGTCGCTGACGAATGATGACAAGGCAAGCGAAGATCAAGGCCACACCCACGACAGCCCCTTCAAATTTCCAGAATAAGTGTTGTTCCATCAGAGCTGAGCGGCAACTGAGGGCAGAAAGGAACAGTTATTGCCAGGGTAGGCCAGACAGCTTCTCCCTCTGATCTCCCTTCTACTTCAGCCTAACCAAGATATATCCAAGAGGAAAAGTCAGCCTTCTTTTTTCTTAGAGACAGAGTCTCACTCTGTTGCCCAGACTGGAGTGTAGGTGTGCAATTATTGCTCAGTACAGCCTCAAATTCCTGTGCTCAGGAGATCCTTCCAACCTCAGCCTCCTTAGTACCTGGGACTACACACACCACTACACCTGGCTAATTAAAAAAAAATTGTAGAGACAAGGTCTTGCTATGTTGCCCAGGCTAGTCTCAAACTCCTGGCCTTAAGCAGTCCTCCCACCTCAGCCTTGAAATGCCGGGTTTACAAGTGTGAGCCACTGCACCTGCCCCAGAGTCAGCCTTCTGATATATTTAAAGTACACAAATCCCTCACAAATATATCATTTAATTTATCCTCTGGTGAGATAAGCAGAGTTAGAATTAACCAATTTTACCTATGATAAAATATGGCCAATAACATAGTGCTAAAGAATAAAGCTGGGACTTGGGTTCAAGGAATTTGGCTCCAAATCCCCTCTTCTTTTCTTTCTTTTTTTTGTTTTTTGAGACAGAGTCTCACTTTGTTGCCCAGGCTAGAGTAAGTGCCATGGTATCAGCCTAGCTCACAGCAACCTCAAACTCCTGGGCTCAAGTGATCCTAATGCCTCAGCCTCCCAAGTAGCTGGGACTACAGGCATGTGCCACCATGCCCGGCTAATTTTTTCTCTATATATTAGTTGGTCAATTAATTTCTTCCTATTTTTATTAGAGACAGGGTCTTGCTCTTGCTCAGGCTGGTTTCGAACTCCTGACCTCAAGCAATCTGCCCACCTGGGCCTCCCAGAGTGCTAGGATTACAGGCGTGAGCCACCATGCCCAGCCCCTCTTCTTGTCAATATGTCATGCTACCCACAGACCAGGAGGAAGAGATGGGACCACCTACCTAAAGTCATAGGAGCAAAGGAGGTGATCTCAGAGAAGACAAATGGCACTCACCTTTTGAACTCATTCTTCTTAGATGAACTGCATATGATTTTCTCTACATACCCTGTGGAACTGCACTCAGGGGTAGTTTTCTGCCAGGAGAAAAGGACCAATGCACATATTAGGAAGCAGCAGCAGGAAAAACAGAAAGGCTGACATTCAGAAGAGGCAGAAGCCCAACTGCTATGGTTAAGCGTTGGCAGGCAACAGAGTTAATGAAGATTTCTGATTCAGATAGTGGAGGTAGTGGTTGCATGATTAGTAATGTGTATTAGAAAGAACAGTTCAAGGGCAATAGTCTAAAGAGAAGTGAGGACAGGTTCCATAGCCCACTGTACTAAAAATTAACAGAACAGAGTTATCAGCTGAATACTGCCATTAACTTGAGAAAAAAACGAGGCACATTTTCAGAAGAAAGACAAATGCAGATTTTGACATATAGTGAGACCACAAGCATAAGTAAGAAAAGAATGCAAAAGCTCACTTAATAAGACTTGGGGACTGCTTAGATGTGAGGAAAAAAAGGATAGAAAACATACTCACAGTCTTAAAATTAGAACATGGAGTGCACTCTTCTGCCACCACAAACTCTTCCACCATCCAGCACGGCAAATTTGAGGTGCTCACTAAAAAGAGGAAAGAAATGCCAACCCCAGACCATTCAGGAAATATTTCTCCAAAAGGTGCTGCCCATCCAACTTCCCAGCACAGCGCTTGCCCTCATTCCATATGGTGCTGTCCTTTTCCACCTGTGCTCTTGGTATATGGGGAAGACATTAAAAACAAAACCAAAAAAGCTATGGGGGTGTCGGGTTCTGAGACAATCACCCACCTGAGAGCTTCTCCTCCTGCACAGGAGCCTCTGCTTGGCTGCAGCGGGTGGAGGAAGAGGGGAAGGGGCAAAAGTCAGAATCCAAAACACAGGGCACCCCACCACCGCTGTCCATGGACAAGGTCTCCCCAATTTCCGGAGGTAGGGACGATCCGGTCCTTCTGTGCCCTCCTTTCCCCTCCCTTCGCCCCTCCTTACCAGAGCTTTAAGGTGAAAGCGCAAAGCAACCAGCAGAGGTGGCGGCCGTGGGGGAGGCCACGCCTCCCCGCGCCTGCAGGCATGGATCGCTCAGTGTCACACCTGGCTCAGTCTCGCACCTGGCGGAACACTGGGACCTGCTCGTCTCCCCTCGTGCCTCGGAGTGCAGAGGCAGCCCTCCAAATGTTCCGGGTCCGGGCGGCTAAATGCCGGGGTTGCCTATCAGGGCAAAGGCTCTGTCGGCACGTCCCTGTGACCACAGCGAGAAAAGCCCATATGCATTTGTTGGCTAGGGACGCGAGGTCCTTCCGCGGAACCCGCAGGGTCCTAAAGGAAGAGCCGGCGGGGACACACGGGCCTAGCACCAGCTACCCTCGGCCTCCGCCCGCGGCGCAGCCATTTTGCCCCGCGGAGCATCCTGGGGCGCAGGCCCGGGCGCGGCGTGTCGGCGCCTACTGGGGCTTGTAGTCTTTCGCAGTCGGTGGCGCCTCGCCCGCTGCTCCCTGGGAATTGGCTCAGCGCCCCGTTGCATTGTGGCGCCGGTAGTCTTTGCGAGAATGGAGGAAATGGCGGCTGCCGAGGCTCGCCGGGATTCTCGACTCGCTGTTCTCCTGTTTTCCGTTCTGGGCTAGGTGACCAGGAAGGTGTAAAAAGGCACAATACCTCGCCCTCCCAGGACTTTGCTGCCTTCTTGAAAATCTGGGATTCACCATTAAGCTTTAGCCTCTCTGACACCCTTCGCCATCTCATCGTCCTCGCCTGCGATGGTCCAGTGGAGAAGTTGGTTTGGAGGTCAAGGAATGGAGATGAAACTGCACTTTTTCCTTTCTGCAGGAACAGGAATATCCGAGACACCTGGTGAAGGTGAAACTCTCCTCTGTCTCTGGGTGCCTACTCCACTACACAGGTGAACAGTGTTACCTCCTCTCATGTTAATTGCTAAACTACGCAGAACTGGTCTTCTGGATAACCTCTCAAATGTTCTCAACTCTCCCTTGCTCCTACATAATGGAATAATCATTAGTGCAATGAGAAGGGCATGAGATTTGAAGTTTCAAGAAATATTAGGTCTAGCCATGCGCGGTGGCTCACGCCTGTAATCCTAGTTCTCTGGGAGGCCGAGGCGGGCGGATTGCTTGAGGTCAGGAGTTCCAAACCAGCTTGAGCAAGAGCGAGAACCCCGTCTCTACTATAAATAGAAAGAAATTAATTGGCCAACTAATATATATAGAAAAAATTAGCCGGGCATGGTGGCGCATGCCTGTAGTCCCAGCTACTTGGGAGGCTGAGGCAGAAGGATTGCTTGAGCCCAGGAGTTTGAGGTTGCTGTGAGCTAGGCTGACTCCATGGCACTCACTCTAGCCTAGGCAACAAAGTGAGACTCTGTCTCAAAAAAAAAAAAAAAAAAAAGAAATATTAGGTCTAGGTTGAGTGCTTATTAGCTACATGACCTTAGGACAGCATCTGGCTCTCAGTGTTCTGTGTAAAACAAAGATGCTAATGTGCATTTTCTAGAATTTTTTGAGATGCAAATGAAATGTGTTATCTCTGTTTTATGAGTAAGTTCAGAGAGTATAAGTGACTTGTCCAAGGTCACCAAGCTGCTGAGTGGGAAAACTGGGGTTTAAGCCTAGACTTTCAATTCCCAGTCGAAAGATTTATGACTGATTTCCATTCCCATGGAGGTAAACCTTGATATATACTCAGAACTGCAGTGACTTGACCCATAGTCAATTCCTGCTTTACTGTCTGGTAACATATTAGTCACTATGCTAATTTTGCCCTAATTTGCCTCCTAGTTTCACATATATGTGTTATCCACAGCCTCCCAGACAATGGGGCCATACGATTTAGTTTTCTTAGATGCTCAATAGATAGACAAGGAAGTACTTAAAATAAGCTTCATATAAATATGAAGCACTAATAAAATAATATGAATCTCAGCTCTCAGGATCAAATGGCTCACTGGGGACAGTTACTCTTGCCTGTAATTCCAGCTACTGAGGAAGCTGTGGTGAGAGGATCCCCTGAGGCCTGGAGTTCAAGATTAGCCTGTGAAACAAAGCAAGACCTGAGACCCTATTCTCAAGAAAAAAAAGGGCAGGGGGAGCCAGGTGTGGAAACTCATGCCTGTAATCCCAGCACTTTGGGAGGCCAAGGTGGGAGGATTGCTTGAGGCCAGGAGTTTAAGACCAGCCTGGGCAACATAACAAGACCCTATCTCTACAAAAAGTAAGAAAAATTAGTCGGGTGTGGTGGTGTTAGCCTGTAGTCCCAGCTACTTGGGAGGCTGAGGCAGGAGGACCTCTTGAGCCCAGGAGTTCAAGGCTGCAGTGAGCACTGATGACACCACTGTACTCTAGGTTTGTCTCCAAAAAAAAAGGGGGCAAGGGGAGGGCTCATCTCCATATTTCTTGTTAACTCTACTCCACATTCTCCTCCTCCAAGGCATCTTTCTAACCTAAAGACTACAGCTTCTACCCTTCCCCACAGACCTAAGGGTAGAGCACTTTATTTGGGGATTAACAGTATATCTGGGGTGGGCGCAGTGGCTCACATCTGTAATCCCAGCACTCTGGGAGGCTGAGGCAGGTGGATTGCTGGCGGTCAGGAGTTTGAAACCAGCCTGAGCAAGAGCGAGACCCAGTCTCTACTATAAATAGAAAGAAATTAATTGGGCAACTAATATATATAGAAAACAATTTAGCTGGGCACAGTGGCGCATACCTGTAATCCCAGCTCTTTGGGAGGCTGAGGCAGGAGGATTGGTTGAGCCCAGGAGTTTGAGGTTGCTGTGAGCTAGGCTGATGCCATGGCACTCACTCTAGCCTGGGCAACAAAGTGAGACTCTGTCTCAAAAAAAAAAAAAAAAAAAAAGAATTAATTGGCCAACTAATATATATAGAAAAAATTATCTGGGCATGGTGGCACATGCCTGAGTCCCAGCTACTCGGGAGGCTGAGGCAGGATTGCTTGAGTCCAGGAGTTTGAGGTTGCTGTGAGCTAGGCTGATGCCATGGTACTCACTCTAGCCTGGGCAACAAAGTGAGACTCTGTCTCACCAAAAAACAAAAAAAACAAAAAACCTGGGCCTTGGTGCAGTGGCTGACACCTGTAATCCCAGCACTTTGGGACACCAAAGTAGGGTGATCGATTGAGGCCAGGAGTTAGACACCAGCTTGGGCAACATAATGAGATCCTGTTCTACCAAAAAGTTAGAAAATTAACCAGACATGGTGACGCATGCCTGTAGTCCCAGCTACTTGGAAGGCTGAGGCAGAAGGATTGCTTGAGCCCAGGAATTCAAGGCTGCAGTGAGCTATGATTGTGCCACTGCGCTTCAGCCTGGACAACAAAGCAAGACCCTGTCTTTAAAACAAGAAAAGAAAAAACCTGATGAGGGCTGAGCTTTCATTTTGCTTTTTTTTAGAGACTGTGTCTCATTATGGTGCCCAGGCTGGAGTGCAGTGGCTATTTACAGGCATGATCATAGCATACTACAGCCTCAAACTCCTGGGCTCAAGTGATCTTCCTGCCTCAGCCTCCCAAGTAACTGGGACTACAGGTATTTACCACCATGCCTAATTTTGAATTTATTTATTTAAGTTATTATTTGTGTATTTCTGTATTATGTGTAGTTGAACAGTTATATGTTACAAAAAGTAGACTGTGTTTTTTTTCCAGTAGTTTTTAGCCATAATTAAACTTTTGGCTGAAATGTGCTCATATTTGTTACTCCTTACCAAATCCTACCTTATCTCATGACAAACTGTGAAATCTTATAAGATTTCACTTCCAGTAACCTTACCAAGCAACTAACTGGGGTCTCTACCCTGAAACTAGATTTTTAAGTATCTGCTCTCGGTTATGATGAGGATATTAGTATCTTTCCTCGGAGCCACAAAGTGCAAGTCTTTCCTCATCTCTTGAGCAAATTAAACCAGCTAGGCTGTTTACTACAGAACTCAAACATAAGCCACAAAAACGGCTTATCATTACCCCATTAAAGCTTAGAAACTTAACATAATTATCAAATTATTTTATTACATTTATTATTTCTCCCAGCACTATCAGGGTTTTCTTTTTTTTTTTTTTTTTTTGAGTGTTGTCTTTTACCAACAGAAATAGCAGCACAAAAAGAGACTTTGCTGCTGACTCTAGGGTAGCCATCTACTTTTACACTGAAAGGTTGGGGGTTTCTTTCTTTCTTTTCTTTTTTTGAGACAGTCTCACTCTGTTGCCTGGGCTAGAGTGCTGTGGCGTCAGCCTAGCTCACAGCAACCTCAAATTCTGGCCTCAAGCGATCCTGCTGCCTCAGCCTCCCGAGTAGCTGGGACTACAGGCATGTGCCACCATGCCTGGCTAATTTTTTCTATATATTTTTAGTTGGGCAATTAATTTCTTTCTATTTTTTTTTTTGAGACAGACTGTTGCTTTGTTGCCCAGGCTAGAGTGATGCCGTCGCGTCAGCCTAACTCACAGCAACCTCAAACTCCTGGGCTCAAGCGATCCTACTGCCTCAGACTCCCGAGTAGCTGGGACTACAGGCATGCGCCACCATGCCCGGCTAATTTTTTCTCTATATATTAGTTGGCCAATTAATTTCTTTCTATTTATAGTAGAGACGGGGTCTCACTCTTCCTCTGGCTGGTTTTGAGCTTCTGACCTCTTGCAATCTGCCCGCCTTGGCCTCCCAGAGTGCTAGGATTACAGGCGTGAGCCACCATGCCAGGCCTCTTTCTATTTTTTTAGGGGTCTCGCTCTTGCTCAGGCTGGTTTGGAACTCCTGACCTTGAGTGATCCACCTGCCTTGGCCTCCCAGAGTGCTAGGATTACAGGAGTGAGCTACCGTGCCCAGCTAGGATTTCTTAATTGCCTTGAATATTGTGCCCATGAATAAAAATTATAATAGTACATTTGTCCCAGTCAAATCTGACATTTTTATTGATCCTGATAATAGATCAAATTTGTGAGATAATTTGCTATTTAAAAAATATCGTGGGCCAGGTGCAGTGGCTCGCGCCTGTAATCCAGGCACTCTGGGAGGCCAAGGCGGGTGGATTGCTGGAGGTCAGGAGTTCGAAACCAGACTGAGCAAGAGTGAGACCCCGTCTCTACTATAAAGAGAAAGAAATTATTTGGCCAACTAATATATGTAGAAAAAATTAGCTGGGCACGGTGGTGCATGCCTGTAGTCCCAGCTACTCAGGAGGCTGAGGCAGAAGGATTGCTTGAGCCCAGGAGATTGAGGTGGTTGTGCGCTGGGCTGATGCCACAGCACTCACTCTAGCCTGAGCAACAAAGCGAGACTCTATCTCAAAAAAAAAAAAAAATTGTGGGGCTGGGCATGGTGGCTTATGCCTGTAATGCTAGCACTCTGGGAGGCTAAGGCAGAAGGATTGCTTGAGGTTGGGAGTTTGAGACCAGCCCGAGCAAGAGCAAGACCCTGTGTCTACCAAAAAACAGTGAAAATTAGCCTCTACCAAAAATAGAAAAAATTAACTGGGCATGGTGGCCTGTGACTGCAGTCCCAGCTACTCAGGAAGCTGAGGCAGGAAGATCGCTTGAGCCCAGGAGTTTGAAGTTGCATAGAGCTGTGATGATGCCACTGCAGTCTACCCAGGGTGACAGAGATTCTCAAAAAAATAAATACATAAAATAAAATAAAAAATACTATGGGACAGGCGTGGTGGTTCATGCCTGTAATCCTAGCACTGTGGGAGGCCGAGGCGGGCCGATTGCTCGAAGTCAGGAGTCAAAATCTGCCTGAGCAAGAGTGAGACCCCATCTCTACTATAAAAATAGAAAGAAACTAATTGGCCAACTAATATATATAGAGAAAAAATTAGCCGGGCATGGCGCATGCCTATAGTCCCAGCTACTCGGGAGGCTAAGGCAGGAAGATTACTTGAGCCCAGGAAGATTGAGGTTGCTGTGAGCTAGGCTGATGCCACACTCACTCTAGCCTGGGCAACAAAGTGAGACTCTGTCTCAAAAATAAAAATAAAAAAATACTGTGTATGATGAAAAGGAGCTATATTTACTTAAGGAGACTGTGTATCAAACCTGAACTTTTCTTTTTGATTGTTGTTCTTTTGCATGCCAGTAGTTTTGCCATCTTTGTTATTCAGTAGTTAAG